CTTATCACGGTGAAATAATGATGTCATCATCTCACGCAACAATAATATTGATGAATTATATATAAATGGATGGGTATTTTACAGAAATAGGTCAGACAATTCAATAACGACATGAATCTGTACGAAGTCCACAATTTGTTGATCGTTCAACTATTTTGTCCAAGACATTTCCTTATCAGCTTATCAATTATTATACAATTGATTTCCACTTCTTTTCTCCTTATTATTGTTTTACTATCAATATTATCACAAATATAGTTAACAACTTTGAGAATTCATTTCAAATAAAAGAAACCATTAGAACACCATGTTATTGTCCGATTCTAACATTCATGATTCAGTTAATCGTAAAATGTTTTGAAAAATTGAAAACTTCACCTTTACCACACTTTTCATCTTATCTCATCTTTCCCGATCAACAGTACCGTTTTTTCATTGATTATTCTTCGGGATAATGAATTTTTATTGAAACTATATAATTCATTTAATGAGTTATCAAATTAAGTAAAAAAATTATAGTCTATAACTTCACTACAGTAATATTCAGATATTTGATGATTCATTATGGTTCCAAAAGCGTTTACTTCATCTGGTATTCAGCATCCTAAAAGAATAATTGTACTTTGTCTCAGCTAAGGATCCTATAATGATATTGTTAGCATTTTAACTATTAGCTGAGTAATGAGTAACGCTTATTAATTCTAATGGTGAGATAATTGGTAAGAACAATTAGTACTAAAAATACCAAAACAATAATTTATTCATTGGAAATGATTCAACAGGATATTATATTCAGAAAAACTAACCAAATTGCAGGAATCGTCATGAAAAGTAACGGAATTAGAACAATGTACTGCCAACATGGTATAATATCTCTCAGACATTTTTTTTCTTTTTGAAAAGATGTTCAATTTAACCATTCAAGAATTAGAAATCTTTTTATGATACGTCGTAATTTTTGCTTGTTACTCATATTATGAAATAACATGCAACCCATGAAATTTCTGTTCATGCATACAGATATCATTCTCAACTACGCTGACTATCTCTATAAAATGCAACTTCCAGCAAGGAAGAAACTTATTTGATGATATTGCTACCAAAGGAAGTAATATTATCTAAAGCTATGCATTATTACTATACGCAAGAGTTGCCAATTCAGACAGTGTGTTAACCGTTCTTCCATAATTTGGTAATTCATTGAGAGACATCTTTATCTTTCAGCTTAACATGGGAACAAAACAGACATGTTTGGAAAAAATTTGTATTTAGAACGGGTTCCAATTCATATACCATATACAGATAAATTTTTGGACAATTTTTTATTTATGTTGGCAAGAATCGAACTGTTTGCAATTATGATGCACATGTGTGGAGAGGGGAATATGTGAGATGTATGTCTGTAAATCCGAAGATGGGATAAGGATAAGGAAGGGAAAAGGAAGACGGAAAAGTCTTCCTTCGGTCTTACAATTTTCAGTTTCGGAGTTTTCAATTTGAGAATCCTCCCTCACATCAAGCCTTACATTCCATAAAATCATTGGTTTTGGAAAAATTGCAGGGAGAGTTCAACGTTGTATATTGGATGAATAAAGTCGTTCAAATGTATAGAGAAGGTATTTCTATGATTTCTAACAACTAAAAACAACACCATCTTTCTGTTTTCACTGGTACAATTATTTTTAATTATTTGAGATTAGAATTTGTGTTAATTCTGCACTATTAAGTTATATTCTGGGAAATGCTTCAAAAA